CTGGGGAGAAGAGACCGACCCCCCTGGCTCCAGCCTCCTTTCAGGCAGTTGCAGAGAGCGATGAGGGCTCCCCTCAGCCTCCTCTTCTCCAGGCTGAGCCCCCCCAGCTCCCCCAGCCGCTCCTCCCCAGCCTTGGGCTCCAGCCCCTGCCCCAGCCTCGCTGCCCTGCTCTGGACTCTGGCCCTCTGCAGCGTTCCGGTGGGATTCCCGGGCTCCCGAGATCTTCCTCCTCCAGGGTGTTTTCTCCCGGCTGAGGGATCCTCTGCCCTCCTCCTTCGGGGGCTTTGCTCTCCCCACAGGCAGCCTGCTCGGAGGATAGCTCGCTGTGCGAGGACTCCTTGCTGTTCTCTCCCTGCCTCAACCTTGCCATCACGACTTCTCTCTTTCTCAGCTCAGGACCCCGGGATCTCCCCAAGCCAGAGTCTGTGTGCCGAGAGCTCCAAAGCCCTTACTTCGGGCTCGCTGTCTGAGAGCGGGGTGGTTCCCGTCGAAGCTTGTTGCTTGGTGGTCCTGGCTACAGAGAACAAAGTAAGACTCAAAACACTCGATTAAAACTCTGTCCCACATTGAGCTTGCCTGCAGAGTCACTCTCTGATTGCGACGACGCTGGGGCTGGGATTGCTGGGAGGTTTTTCTGCTCATTAGACCGAGATGGCTGCAACCTCTCAGGTTGACGGTGGAGAGCCACGAGCCCCAGCGTGGCCCCATCTTGCTCTCACCAAGTGTCCCCTCTGTTACGTGACCAGGTGCTTACCTGGCCGTAGGTTGTGTGACACACGTAGGCCCAGTTTTAAGACGGCAGGGTGTGGGTTGGGCTTTGCTGGCGCACGAGGTGCTGCCTGGAGGAGGAAACCCGGTCCCTGCCCCAGCCCCAAGACCTGGTTCGGACACGAGAGGCTATCAGAAGATGGTTTTCCCTTGGTGGTGCTGCCCGCTGCCCAGAGCTTTCTCCAGCAGCATGAAATCTGTGAAGACAACAGAATCTCTCCCACAATAGGATTTTGCTAACCGGGGCATTTTCCTGATGCTGACCTGGAAATTTCTTTCATCCAGTGTCTGGATCCAGAGGTACTGACCTCAGTCTGTGTGCTCCTACTTCTACAGCAGGAACCCTTTGCCTTCAGGGTGGAGTTTTGCTCGCCTTGTTTTCGGCTCTAACACTCTCTGGGGTGCCTGCGCCTATTTGGGATGTAGGTTATGTACCCAAAATCCCAGGGAGCTGAACTGAGGAGTAGGACAGAGCATCGACACAAAATCCAGGTGCTCTTTCATAGCTGCGGATTGACAACGGAGCATCCGATCTGCTATTGCCTGGGTCTGAAGAGGGCTGGGATGCTTCTCTGGCGGCATGGGAGGGTGAGGGGTGATACGTTTCAGGAGTTCATCTCCTCTAGCTCTGAGGAAAAGCCCAGGGCACCGCAGGAGATAGCTAACGAGACTCGAGGTTTGTCACCTCCAGCCCTGGAGACCCTGTGGGTCGAGCAGTGCCCTGGATCTTGGCCGAGTGGGTTCCCTCTCCTCGCTGGGAGGACAACACCCGTACAAATACAGCACGCCGCTGTCCCGCATGGTGCGCCCACCCTAGGGAGCTGAAGAGAAAGGCCACTGTGGTACCTTCTGCCTTGCACCAGCCCTTCTTTGCTCCCTCCCCAGGTGACTGCCGAGGAGCTGTGCTCACTTCTCAGCCAAGTCTTCCAGATTGTTTACACCGAGTCCACGATAGACTTCTTGGACAGAGCAATATTCGATGGGGCGTCCACGCCGACGCGGCACATGTCCTTACACAGCGGTAAGTCCGTGCTCTCCCCGTTTTCTTCTTTCTTACCGGGCCCATCTGAGGGTCATAGAATCACAGAAAGGTTTGGGTGGGAAGGGACCTTTCAAGGTCATCTGGTTCCAACCCCCGGCCATGGGCAGGGACATCTTCAACCAGATCAGGGTGCTCAGAGCCCCGTCCAGCCTGGCCTTGAACATTTCCAGGGATGGGGCATCCACCACCGCTCTGGGCAACCTGTGCTGGTGTTTCACTAGCCTCATTGTAAAAAATTTCTTCCTTATATCTAGTCCAAATCTCCCTTCTTTTAGTTTAAAACCATCCCCCCTTGTCCTGTTGCAGCAGGCCCTGCTAAAAAGTCTCTGTCTTTCTTGTCGGCCCCCTTTCAGCACGGCAAGGCCGCAGTGAGGTCTCCCCGCAGCCTCCTCCTCTCCAGGCTGAACCCCCCCAGCTCTCAGCCTGTCCTCACAGCAGAGCTGGGCCACCCTCGGAGCATTTCGGTGGCCTCCCCTGGCCCCAGCTCCACAGCTCCATGTCCTTCCCGTGCTGAGGACCCCCGAGCTGGACGCGGGGCTCCAGGGGGGTCTCCCCAGAGCGGGGCAGAGGGGCAGAATCCCCTCCCTCGCCCCGCTGCCCACGCTGCGGGGGATGCAGCCCAGGAGACGCTTGGCTTTCTGGTCTCTCCCCATCTTCACCAACGCCTGTCACCTCTCCTCCTGCCATCCTGCGAGGTCAGAGCCAGCCTGGCCCAGCCTGGTGGCTTCCCTCCTGTAGGGTACTGAAAAAAAAAACCCTCCTCTGCTTCAATTACGTGTGAGTGGGAAGGGCCCGAGGCTGCCTCCGGCCTGCAGATGTTTCCCCAGCTGGGCTATGGGACATCAGCCATCGTCCTTGTCCCCCATACCCTTTGCCTCTCTGTTCATGTTGGATGGGGGCACTTAATAAAACAATCCCTTTGCCATTCTGCGTCTCTGCTGAGTCCGTATCCAGTCCTGTCACAGCACCGCTCAGCACCAACCCAGCCCCAGCCCCGCTGCCTCTCACCTTCCAGCTGTGAAAGCTGAGTCAGAAATCAGTGTGTGTGTGGAGCTCACGGATCGGGAAAAGCACCAAATTTCTGCCTCTTAAACTCCACGTCTCAAATGTTTTCCTTGCAGATGACTCTTCTACAAAAGTGGATGTTAAGGAATCTTACGAAACGGAAGCAAGCACTTTGTAAGTGAAACGTGGTACACTGGGCTCGCTCAGCACTCGGGCTTATTAGTGCAGCCTCGCTGCCGGGTTTAAATCCCCTGGAGCAGGAACCGCTGCGATCCGCACGTTGAAAAGCTTCTGCTCAGCCTGGCCGAAAAACTGGGCGGTGTTTTTACTGTCCGCGGTGCCGTGGTCCCTGCCGCCGCAGCATCCGTGGCCGTATTGTTCTGCCGCCGCGGGTTTCCAGGGATGATCACGTACTCAGTGTACATGCAGTCCCCCGAGCCAGCAAAGCGGGGATGTGACGCTCGCCCGGCTGCTTTGTCTTGGTGAAGCCCAGCTGGAACTGGGAGAAATGGTTTCCTCAAAACCCTTTGTTTTGGAAACTTTTTCCCCTCCTGAATCGGTGACCGCTGAAAATGTTGATAGTGTTTGTGGGCTGAAAACCTGACACGCAAACCCGTTGTTTAAAATTGACTGATACCATTTGAAAAATTTCACATTTAATGCCAAAATAAGGTGGTTTGAAGCTTCCCCCCACTCTGGTCCAAAACGAGAAAGCAGTTGGAGGGGATCTGCGCTCATGTAGGGCTTCACTTTCAGCAGGTAGCCAAACCACCGTAGCCCAAGTCCTGCACGCTGCGTGGGAGCCTTCGGATGCCCTCGGGAGCGGAAGGCTGCGAGCTTTATCGCAGAGCGAGCGCGTCTCCGCCTGCCTCTCCACCCTTCCAGGCTCCCCCGTGCCGCAGCTGCCAGCGCCGGCGACGCAGAAGGTGCCCGAGGAGCTCTGGAGGACTCATGATCTGTTTGCATTTCAGTTCCTTTCCAGAAACCTTGGATGCAGGTGACAACTCCCCCTCGTCCTTCTCCACACAACAGTCTCCGCACGTTAAGACAGTCAGCGAGAGCGAGCTGAGCACCACGGCGACAGAGCTGCTCCAGGACTATATGATGACGGTAGAGTGCCCAGGGAAGGGTGGAGGGGTTTTAATTCCCTTTAGGGTGCTCGAGTGCTCTTGGGATTTGGGTTCATTGCCTTGGCGTGGAGAACGTGAGCCCATGCTGCTGTAGGAACATCCCGTCCCCCTCCTTTTCATACAAATTGTGCTTGGAGGCTTCGCGGGACCTGAACGCGGGCTCGCAGCCTTCTCCTGTGGGAGCATCCCCACCCCCTTGGCCCCTCTCACCGCATAAAGCTGTCTCACGCCATCCCAGCGCCATCGCTTCGTGAGTCGCGGTCCCTGCGTACGCTCACAGCGTGTCCCTGTTTGAAAGCTGCCGGCTTGGTAGTGGGTTGCACCAACCTGGCCTGCTTTTCCGTCGGGACGAGCAGGTTCATTACTGCAGCTCTTGTCAAATAGCAATAAATCCGGTAAACGCCATTCCCAGGCTTCCCATCCTCTCTTCCTCCTAAAAAATCAGTGCTGTTTGCGGTCTGCTTCTCTTCCGCAGCTCCGAACGAAACTCTCTTCCCAAGAGATCCAGCAGTTCGCAATGCTCCTGCACGAGTATCGCAACGGGGCTTCGATCCACGAGTTCTGCATCAACTTGAAGCAGCTCTACGGGGACAGTAGAAAATTCCTGCTCTTAGGTGAGCGTCAGCTGCCAGGGATGCAGCGGGGATGCCCGGCCAGAGGGCGAGAGCCGGCGTCGGGCGGCTCCCGAGCCCTCGTGACTCGCCTGGTGCCGACCTCTGCCGCATGGGCCTTCCACATGGGCAGTCCGACGGGATCGAGGGGGTAAAGGGGGGGGTGTGGACGGCACAAAGCTTCCTTGGGGTGTCACCAAGCAAGGAGCAACATCTCAATCCCTCTCTCCTTTGGAGATCCCTCTTTCCTGAAGGCAGCTGGGTCCATCTAGGTCAGGCCCCATCTCAGAGACTCCAGTCATCCCTCGAGATGCTCACCTCACCCTCTGACTGCCTGGGTACCTCCCTCCAGACCAGGCACCAGGCTTTTCTTGTAAGAGAGAGGGCTCTGGGCCTCGGTCCAGGCCATTCTGGTGTTGGCTGCGCCGGTCATCCGGGCGTATTGAACCCGCATTCCCTGGACGTTACAGTCCCGGAGAGGTGTGCGCCCTGGCAGGTGACAGGGCCCTTTCCTTCCCCTGCGTTAAAAGGAGGCCGAGAGCCCCAGGGGCTCTTCAGATCCCTCCTGCTCAAACTCCTTGATTGGATTTTTGGCGTTAATAATGTGAAAGAGCAGCGGTAACAAGAGCCCGTGGGGTTGGGACAGGAGCACCTGAGCCGGTGTCGCTGCTCCGGCCATGGGGCAGGCAGGGTCTCAGCCGGGCGCTGAGCTGACCCGCACCCCGAGCAGGGGGGCTGTAGGGGGGGGGGGTCTCATCACTGAAAAGCGATGTTTTCACCCCGTTTTAAAAGCAGAGCTGCTGAAAGCACTGGCGTTGGCGTGCCGCAGGGAGAGGGGCAGCTCTCGGCGAGCTCTCCCGGCAGCCGGCTTCTCTTTCCTTTGTCCTGGGGGTCCGGCAGCGCAGCCGGGCACCTCCGCCAGCACAAAGGCGTTTTCTTTCAGCGGCACGCACGCAGCCGACTTGCTTTTAACGTCACCGGTGCAACGGCAAGGTCGCTGTGCTGGCAGGCTGACTTTACAGTGGCTGCATGGCACCAAAAAGCAGATCCGACTTGCTTTTCCCAGCCTGGGCGCTCACACGGGTGCCACGCGCTCCCGGGACAGAGCCGGGCTGAGCACCAGCCGCTCCCCATGGATTGGACCGGCGTGGGCAGTGCGAGATAGAGAGGTGAGAAGCAGCGAACCTTCCACCCAGGCTCAGAATACGCTGGAAAGCTGCTGTAAAGGTTTTTTCTTTCAGTTTTTAGACCCATTTAAGTTGGAAAAGACCTTTAAGATCATCGAGTCCAACCGTTTTTGAGTGCCCAGAGTTTTCTTCCAAGCATTTTGGGCAGTGACCGCAGCCCTAAAGCTGGGCCTGACTCTGGCTGTCTTGTTTTTGGCCGGTAAGGACCCGCACCATGGAGAGGGATAAGGAGATGCTGCTCACTGCGCCACGATTGCAGCTGGAGCAGGATGGGGCCCATCTGGAGGAAAAGCCATTTGAGTAGCCTTAGCTTAGCAAGAGGACTTGCATCCTACCTTTAATTATGAAGAAAACCAAATTATTTAAAATATGTTGTGGTGAGGAATTAGCAGACGATCCTTTCGAGCTCGGAAAATCCCTCTTTAGCGGGGTTTTTGTCCTTGGTGGGCAGTGGCTGCAGTTCTCAGGGGCGTCAGCGGGAGATGCGGCCACGAGCCGGAGACCCCCGTGGTCCCCGTCCCCCCTGAACCGGGCTCCTCTGCCGAGCCCTGCGCCGGTTCGGGGAGCTGGGGCACAACATCGCAGCTGGGCCCTGCTGGAAAGCTCAGAATCCCCAGGGAATTTCAGACAGCTGAGCAAATCCATGGGGAAATCTGTCCCGGCTGTCTCCCCCGCTGCATGAAACACATGGTGATGCCAACGTTTCCTCCTCGTGGGGTTTTTTTTCCCCCTGATCCAGGTCTTCGCCCCTTCATCCCCGAGAAGGACAGCCAACACTTTGAGAACTTCCTTGAGACCATCGGGGTGAAGGACGGCCGGGGCATCATCACAGACAGTTTCGGGAGGTACAGGCGGACTCTGAGCACCACCTCCAATTCCACCACCAACGGCAACGGCGCTGCCGGCAGCTCGGATGACCAGTCCGTCCCTTCGGAGGAGGACGAGTGGGACCGAATGATCTCGCACATCAGCAACGACATTGAAGCCCTGGGGTGCAGCATGGACCGTGATTCCTCCTGAGAGCGAGCCGGGGGGAGGACGGCCCCGGCAGCTCCCCGCGCCCTCCCGCAGAGACCCCACAGCAGCGCCTGGATCCTGACCGTCGTTCTGGAAGAGGTTTCGGGGCTCGATCGGAATGTAATTACTCTCCCATCCTCATTAATGGCTCCGAGCGACCGTTGCCAGGTGGCCGGTGCCCTCTTCCCATGCCGGCCCGCTGCGGTGGAGCGCCCCGGGGCAGGAGCCCGGCCTGCGACCGTCCCTGGTTTGGTTTTTGGAGCGAGGCCGGGGAGATGTCGGCTACACCCTCTGCCTGGTTTACAGTTTTGCACATGGTATCCCTGTTGTAACTGCTCTCCTCCTCCTCCTCTCCCCGTTTTTGAATGAAGTTTACCACAATGTGAATTATTTAAACCTATTGTCCATGTTGTCGAAACAACAGGAGACACTGCGGTGGTAGCGGACGCCGGCCGCGCCGTGAGCTTTGCGCTTGTGCTGCTGCAGCCCGGCCTGTGCCCCCCGTCCGTCCC